CACACACACACACACACACACACACACACACACACACACACCGGCAGAGCGATGTGCTCATAGTTTATCACCACCAGGGCAAGTTGTTGCGGACCAAATCCTGCAGCAGCTGAACGCCCTTGCGTTGGACCGATCCTCCTTGTCGTCATCTGCGCATAGAGAAGGAATAAATACTGAGGAAGCCCAAGAAAAGATGCTCCATGCCGCTTTGTGATGACCCGCCGGAGATTCAAGTAGCATGTGGTTCACATGCCTTGTGCCGTGACGATTATGAAGGGATAGTCCGTGTGAGGTTTTGCTTCCATACGTACGACGACAGTCAGTACTGTACTCATGTACGGCACCCTGACATGTCATATCCAATTTGTAGACAGGAGGTGGAACGGCAATGCCTCTAAAATTGCGGTCGACTTGCCTCTGTGTTCCTAGCATGTAGGAGCCGCGTAGCCTGTGACATCTGCTTGCGCCGTGCCATTCAATGCAGCAACCGTGACTGCGAAAATTGGATGCGGTGTCCACACCCGAACCGGTCCTGTCCGGTCTGTAGGGGTGACCGCTTGCCATAGGCATTAACTGCTCCTCAATCCAACATGTTCCCTCCACTCCCTTTGTGCGACTAACCAATACATACGAATGAGCATCGTTAAGAGAACAGACGATATGAAAAAAAAAAAAAAAAAAAAAAAAAAAAAAAAAAAAAAGATGATATGAAGATCAGAAATAAAAATGAACGGAAGTATGAAGAAGAAGGACAGACACAAAGACTAAGTACAAGCTGAAGATCTGAAGTGAAATGAACAGGAGTATGGAGCTCTGAAGAGAAATGCACAGGAGCATAGTACCGTCCCTTTTACTCTGCGTCCTGAAATAACGTGCAAGTGGGCCGTGAAGGCAGACAGGGATGGGGGCAGCTGCCGCTCAACCACAGTCAACGTGGACAGCCTTGTACGTAAGAGGCACAGTAAAAGGGGAGCTGCAAGAACAAATGGAAGGGGTACCCCAAGGACAACCAATAAAATGTCTGGTTATAAAATTGCTTTAAAGTTTAATATGTTGGACTGTCTCATCTCAAATGCTCTCGTTGTCTGCAGTAGGACAAAGATTGCTTTGATTCTGAATTTATTCATCAGGGTGGAATTGGGGCTGTTGTGGTGAAAATCTATAACACACACACACACACACACACACACACACACACACACACACACACACACACACACACACACACACACACACACACACTTATGACACATGGCATGTTGCTGGCATGCCAGCTAGGGACCAGACTTGCACTCACAGTTGTTCGGGCATGGCATGTCGAGGCCGCAACGACATATCAGGCAACTAATATGTGGGTAGGGGGGATGGATGTAAGACAGAGATAGATAACAGTTCTCATGGCAGGGGCTGGCAGTGACGAACCCTTCTTCATAGTGATACAAGCAGAGATTTTGCCAGAGATATGGATGGCCAAGCTGAGCTGAGGGCTAATCACTTGCTGTCCCCTTCTCCCACTGATTATCTCCTGCCTATTCCCTTCCACAAGCATTGCCCCCCTCACCTGCATCTTCTGCTACAGCATACCCACTGTCTACTGCCCCCTCCGTCCCCCCTCCTCCCCCCCCTTTCTCGTTCTTCTTCCTTCTCTCCTTTGTCATCATCGGCATCATCGACACATTCACGGTCATATTAGCCGTCACAGGCACAGGTGCCTCTTCGGCGAAGGCGTTCTGCACCTTCTCTGCCACCTTCCGGATAGTGTCCTCGCCCGTACACGGACAGTATTTGACAAACAATACTGCATCTATCTGTGGCACATGGTTTATTTTGCAAAAATGCCCCTGTATGTGCCTGTGATACGTGTTGTTCTTTTGCGAAAATGCCTCTGGCCTTTGACAGTTCATTTGAGATAAGTCCGGCGCTGGCAGAGCGGCAGAGGTCAACCGTTCATGCACACGGAAAACACCGTGGAAAGTACGTTGTTAAACAGTGCAATGCCATGCACAGGGAGAGTTGGGGTATGTTCTCTTCTGTTCTCTTCTCCTCTTCTGTTCTGTTCTGTTCTCCTCTTCTCTTCTCCTCTCTTCTCTTCTCTTCTTCCCGTGCTCACCCCTGAATATTTACTCCGACATTGGGAACTTGGGAAGCTGGTGAAATTTGCAGTAAACTGAGTAAAGTATAATGAAATTCTTTTTTTATTATTTTTTTATTTTTTATTATTTGGACCATTTCTCGATTTATGCGTGTCATCCTTGCGCAGGGGCCATGCTAATCTTCAATCTCTGTATCGTTCCAATTTTAACGGATGTCCCGAAGGACAAGTATAATGAAATTCTGACATTGAGAACATTCAACATTCCAAATTTGTCCCCACAGGCTGTCATTCGTCATTGGATTATTGGTTGGCTACTTCGCACGAAGAAGCTGACGGATTGTGCAGAAGACTGGCTGAGTGCCATTCATCTGCGAAAGTGCATTGTTAAACAGTGCAATGCCATGCACAGCTCCTCTAGCTTTCTTCTTGTTATTCTTGTTCTTGTTCTTGTTCTTGTTCTTGTTCTTCTTCTTTGTTTTTTCTTCTCCTTCCTGCTGCTCCTCCTCCTCCTGTTCTGCCTCTTCCTCCCTGTCTTCCTCCTCCTCCTCTCTTCTTCTTCTTCTTCTTCTTCTTCTTCTTCTTCTTCTTCTTCTTCTTCTTCTTCTTCGTTTTTGTCTTTGTCAGTCTCCTTTTTCGCGTCTCTCCTCCTCTTCACCATTCTCATCGTCCCTTTCTCTGGTCTATAGGTTGGGACACAGTTGCACCAATGCACAGACTGGAGCAGACTAGTGTGGAGCATATGGTGCTCGCACATCAGAAAACCAAAAGCAAAGGGGGGGAAAAAGGGAAAAAAAGGCACAAACTAGACCTCCGGACCATGGTTCAGATGGTCCGTGGTCCGGGGTCCTGAATCTAGACGTTTGGAGCTGTCCGGCATAATTCAATTTATCGTAACACTATCGTTTGATTCTTTTTTTGAAATTTTGATTAAAAGAAAATTTCGAAAAACAAAAAAATTCTGGAAAAGAATGTTGTGCGGCATTGGAATACAAACAAGTTTTGCCTGCCAAGCATTAATCAAATTAAAGAAAAAAAAAAAAAAAAATCGAAACAAACATTGGAATATTTCAGGGTAGCCCCTGATCTGGGTCAGCCCTGGACGTTCCCTACCGTCTTCACCCGATAGAACGCCCGGCCATTATAGCTGTATTCGGGGCAACTCTCAATCCAGATACGGCGATAATCACCGGGCATTCTATTCGGGTGAAGACGGTAGCCAGGCCGGAGCACTTGGTGTCGACTACCTATGCGTTCGGTTCCCCAGATCTGAAAAAGAGTATGGTCTGGACTGGGTCTGCACCCGATCCGAAACGTCCAGATCTGTTCCAGATGGTCCGGACTAGGTCCCGAACGTCCAGATGTGATCCAGATGGTCTGGACTGGGTCTGGATCTGATGAAGATAGTTCAGACTGGGTCCTGACCGGATTGGGACTGGGTCTGGGAAATCAGGATCTGATACACATGGTCCAGACCGGGTCTGGACCGGCGGGACTTTGGTGTAAAATGTTGTTCCAAGCAACTTTTTTTGGCCTGCAAGCATGTCCCAAAAGGGCCCAAAATCATATTGTCCTTTTTGTTGTTTTAAATAAAGAAGAATATCAAATCAGTCTGCAAGCATGTCGCCGAAGGGCCCGAATCTTATCTTCTTCTTCTTTTTTTTTTTTCTTTTTTTAAGCACTAGGACCTTTGTCGGTTCGAAAATACTCAGCGTCCGAACTTTCAGGAGGCCGAAACGAAACGACGGCCGCCGATCAGATTGATCAATGTCGGCCAGGCTCGGCCTCAGCCTCCTGAAAGTTCAGGAGCTGGCGAGTACTTGTCGAAACCGGACGCCAAAGGTACTAGTGGTTTAACTTTTAAAATAATAAAAAATAGCAAATCGAACAGCAACCATGCACGCACACAATTGTACATTGGTTTCACTGTCATCAAGAGTATCCGGTCGACGCTCAGAGAGTTGTTACTCCCGAAAGAAATGCGATCCGCTGACAAGACCACTTAGCGGGGGACCATTATTTGTTGTCCCTTTGAAATTTTGTTTTGTCAAATGTTCAGTATTTTACTATTTTGGTTTCGGGGGACCATTTTTTTGGTGGACTGCACAGCACACACCATCTGCTTATATGAACAATGGGTAAAGGATTGGATTCCTGACTTAGGGCCTTGCTTGACTACTCAACACTCGACATGTATCTGGAGTTTGGACTGATAAGTGCACCACGTACATTTGGACTGATCGAGCATTTTGAAATTTGAATGCATTCTATCGAAAAGTAGGTCCATATACATTTCAAATTTTGTTCAGTGGAGTGACACACTTATCCACTAGGATGGTTGGAACTTGGGAACTATGGATCACCTCATCTGCTTATGAACATCATTTTTTTTATTATTATTATTATTTTTTAAGTTTGTCAATTTGGACCATTTTGTTTTTGATTTATGTGTTTCATCCTTGAGTGCGCAGGGGCCATGGCCGCCATCCTACTCTCTCTCTCTCTCTCTCTCTCTCTCTCTCTCTCTCTCTCTCTCTCTCTCT